GCAGTTTTCTCCAACCTCCTGTCACTTCATCCCTCTTCGGTCCAAATATTCTCCTCAACACCCTGTTCTCAAACACCCTCAGTCTATGTTCCTCCCTTAATGTCAGAGACCAAGTTTCAGACCCATACAGAACCACAGGCAAAATTATAGTTTTGTATATTCTAATTTTTATGTTTTTGTACAACAGATATTTATTTTAATTCTGACAGAATGTATTTAATGAAAGCAATTAAAAAGTGACTATTTAGAAATAAGACACTTCTGTTAACTTCATTATTCTTAGACATTACTGATATCACTAAGATTAAATCAATAATTAACAATTAATATTGATTAATTTTTCTATAAATGCATACATAAATTACACAATAAGACCTGATATGCATACCATGGTTATTTGTTAAAAATTTTACAAAATTAAATTAATTTATTGAACATACTTAGCACTGAAATTTCCACTTCAACTTGATCTGTGCCAGAACTGTTCTTAGCTGTTACAGTATATACACCAGTGTCTGCACGCTGCACCTTTGTGAGGATGAATGTAGTTTTGTAATCCTCATTTTCAATTTTCAATCTGCAAAAATATTGTGAGAACAATTCATAACTGTGTTTTGTATAAACATAATTCTTATGTGCAATATTAATATTTTTTAGAACAACATATACAGAGTACAAAGACAGACATATCATTTCAAAGTGTTCATCTTTATTTTGAATGTAAATAAAAATATTGTGCAGGCATATACAGCAATAATAAGATCTGTATTGTGGTCTTCTGTGTTATGATACCATCAAGATATATTTGTACAGTGATAATGGAAACAGCAGGTTCCCCTGAGACATGGTCATCACCCAAAAGATCAAATTGGGTAATATCCAAGGAGATTATAATCAACATTTTCACTACTGAGAAAATCTCAAATCTTATGTAAGAGTTAGAAGCAAATTATATACTACCTGAAAGGTTTTATGCATATGTAATAAGAGGTCCTCAGAGTATACAAATCATATCATGAGTGTCTGGTGCATTAGCTTCTCATTTTATTGAATGTTGAAATCAGACACACAAGTCTATACCCCTAGAATGCATTCTGCATTACCAGTTTTCCCCCAGGAAATATTTTGTAATATCATGCCAAATGAAAAAGAGGAGTACATAGGATCAGAAGAAATATTAACACCATTTATTTGTCAGAAAAAATCAAGTTTATGGGTCAAATGACCCAAAGAGAAAGCTGGAGGTCATAAAATTTTCATGTGATGGCTGTACCAATTACCACGATGCTCAAAGCAAGGAAAACAGATAAAAATGCCCAAGTTAATGTGGTCTGAAAGTTAAATGAAGAAAAGGCCATTAATAATTCTTATTTATAAAAATTTCACAGGACCTAAGTGTGGCGCACCTCTCTGGTGTACCTCTTGCTTGATCAAGCTATCGAGACTCCCTTCCCCTGTTTCTAGATTGTGGCAGACATCATTCAGCTGATGCTAAAGGATGTGGTTGCTCAGGTAGTCACAAGAAATTTTCTGAAGGGTGATATGTCCATATAAACTAGCTGTCAAATTCTTGAGGTAGCTAAGTTCAGTTCATTGCAGTGCAGAGATGCAGCTGTGAAGTACTGAGTATTATGAATTGTGCGTCAGTCAGTGTACGGTTAAACAGTGCAGTCTGTGGATGAATCAATCAGTGAGTAAATCAGTCTTCAGCACTAGCATTGTGTTTAAATAGTGAATGGACAAACAGCCAGCCTTAGGAGCATAAGTGATTACATATACAGTATGCGCCAAAATATACAGTATTGAAATGAAAATATGTCCTGTTGAGACCACTGTCTATTCATATGAATGCCCCTTGCACAACAGAACCTTTTCAAATCCTGAAGAACTTATCCGATCACCATGTCCCTGTAGCATTCTTGGGTGACGGTTAGAGCATTGCCTTCCTGATCCTTAATGAAATAGGGGCCTAATATACCATGTGCTGAGACGGGACACCATATCGTCACACNGGCCTTAGGAGCATAAGTGATTACATATACAGTATGCGCCCAAAAATACAGTATTGAAATGAAAAGATGTCCTGTTGATACCACTGTCTATTCATACGAAGGCCCCTTGCACAACAGAACCTTTTCAAATCCTGAAGAAATTATCCGATCACCATGTCCCTGTAGCATTCTTGCGTGAAGGTAAGAGCATTGCCTTCCTGATCCTTAATGAAATAGGGGCCTAATATACCATGTGCTGAGACGGGACACCATATCGTCACACGTGTACTATGTAGCAGTTTCTGGACCATAACATCTGGCTGCTCAAAACCATGGAAGCGAGTTGTCTGGTGACCACTTCCGTATGAGCAGAAATAATACTCAACTATGAATACCTTTTCCTCTTTCAAGAGACCCATTTCCAACAAATGCACAACACAACTTCCTTTTCACTACTGGGAACACGTGCGGCTGGAGCTATGCCCCATCAACAAACGCACATGTGAGTTCGAGATGTGCAAGTTTCAGTATTGGATATTTTGGCGCATACTGTATTTAGACAATAACTGCTCTAAATACTGATAAACATTACAATAATAACATGCAGTAATTCACTGTTATGGGGGGAGGAAGTATAAAACATTGTAAAATGCTTCTTGTATATTACAGATTTCTGCATAAATTACTGAAATCTCTAAACATGTTTCACTCCTTAAATTGCCCAATAAAATATAGTGAAACCCCCCTTTATGTTGTTTTTCACCATACTTGGCCATTAACTCATGCTTCACTATAATTGCAAGCAATCAAGCAGAACAAGGGATGTCTGCTGATAAGCAGCAGGATCTCAGTTTGTTCAGAAGCTGCATGATATAAGCAGCCAAACTCAACTGCTGTAAATTTGCATCTCTCCTTGTGTAGTGTTGTAACCTCTCTTTCTGAGGGAGAAGGAAGGTATCGATTTGCACGGCCAAGCTTGGGAATTAATATATAATAGTCATGAGTACATTAAGAAAGAGGATGAGGAAAAAGAACCACCCATATGGTTTCAATAGCTTCAGGATTTAGTTTCTAGAACATGTGGTGCTGTGAAGAAATCTCATGTTATGCACTCAAAAATTTCAAATCTACAATGTGTCACCAGGGATAAGTATAACATGCATAAGAAAATAAATAAACTTTTTTTTTTATTCAGATGAAACAGAACCAGAATTATTCTCTGAGCAAAACATGGCAAGCTTCTACTGATAGGTGTGGTCTAAGAATGCCAATAGGGAAACTGGCCTCAATGAATACAGAATAGATTTTTGGGCGTGAAAAAATTCTTAGTTCTGATTACCACTGTGATTTGAATGTCAATGTTTATAAGGACTGGTTTCTTCAGTTCTTAAAAAATATTCAGAGAACTGTGATCACAATGGATAATGCTACTTACTATTGCATAACTGTCAACAAAGCCCCAGCTCTGAATACTAGGAGACCAATATAGTGATGTGATTGTCAGGAAAGAGCATTCCATATGAACCACACTGACCACAAAACTGAACTGGTGGCTTGGTGCAATTGACAAAGACAAAAATTGCACAGTATGAAATTTATTCTGTAGCTCACACTCACAACCATACTCTTGTGAGACTGCTGCCATACTATTTCCAAGATAACCTAATAGAATTGATATGGGTTCACTTAAAATGTGAGGTGGCAAATAACCAACAGTTCAATCAGGGTTTCAAATATTGCAATTTTATGAGATTTACCGCTGACAACATTATAAAAATGTTCAGAAATTCTGTAGTGAGCACACAGAAAATCTTCAAGACAAATGTTGCAGGAGCAAACAGCTTTGTTCTATCTTTATGAACCTAGTAATGGTCAATCTACAAGGACAGTAACTCATCTGCAGATAATTCTGACACCAGTTCAGACTTTAAAATGATAATAAATTACATATAAATAAAATAATAATAAAATTACATATAAATAAAATAATAAAAATTACATTCAGACTGAGGAACAAATTACTGTAACTTTTGACACTGTTGTGAGCCCCTCTCCACAGTGTAGTTTCTGTTGATGTATAACTGATTATCTGTATACAAATATATTCAACAACGCCGCTTTAATTTACTGAAAACCAGTGTTTTGCAATGTCACATTTGACAGCACAGTGTGTTCTGCATTTCCTTGTTCCCTGTCCCCACTTCCAATTCAAATAATTCCAAGTTTATAATATAATCTCAGTAAATAAATCATGTTTAATAGTTCCTTAAATTTAGTGTTCAAATTTACAGCTCCTCAGAGAAATCTTAAATGGCAGTTTCGTTCTATATAAATAAGCCAAGACAACAACTTATAAATATGAGTACGTGGTTCCCAAATAAATGAAATGTGTTTGAAATTTTTTTCTAATGAAGAACAGCTTGTGCCAACTTTTCAAATTTTCCCAGAACCTTGCAAGCAGTAAAATTTTATTTGAAAAATATTTTAGTTTTAGAAATCAACCAGAATATTTTTCTATGTGATTTGAAAATAAAAGGTCATACCTCAATGTACATATTCCTGCCACACGAAGCTACTTGTCTGATCAACCACAGTTCATTACCATAACTACACCAAATACTATACACTATATACAGTACACAGAGATGGAAAAAGAAGATGCAGAAATATAGCACAAATTCCCAAAGATGAATACAACATGCAAATGTGTTATAATGTTTTCAAAGTTTTTGCAATATCTGTGCAATCTACAGTTACATTTCATCTACAATTCAAGAGAAATATAGTAACGTGGATGGCCAGAACTTTGCTAGTTTATGGACTAGTAAACACCCCGCGACCAAATACATGCAAGGCAACAACAGAAGTATCACCATTTCTATGCAAAGACCTGTAAACAGCCTTCAGCTGAGTGCATTACAACAACAGGAGTCAAGATGTTTTCTGTGTAGTCTGTGTGAAGCTTATATAATGAGTAGCTGTTATAACTTATACGAGGCTGAGAGACTAGTGCAGAATGTATTGTGCAGAGCGTTTATAAGAGAAGTGAAAGCAGTCAGTCAGTATTGAGTTCTTGGGGGAGAGAGCCATGGGAATTTTGCAGAAGACAAGAAGACTTCATAGTGATTTGAAGTGATAATTTCTGTGTTGAGATCTGTTGTTAGGAAACAACTAGTGGAAACAGAATCCTAGTGCGTGTGTAACTGTGAATTGTGAAGTGTATAAATCAGCAATAGCACTGTATTTAAATGTGATTAAGAGAACTTGTAACCAAAGTGCTAATGAATCCAATCATCCAAACTAGAACCAGT